GTGTCTTTGTGTACGCTTGTGTGTTTTTGTGTCTTTGTGTGCGTTTGCGTGTCTGTGTGCGTTTGCGTGTCTTTGTGTGTCTTGGAGTGTGGTTCTGTGCGTTTGTGTGTCTTGGAGTGTGTTTGTGTCTTTGTGTGTGTTTCTGTGCATTTATGTGAATTTTTGTGCGTTTGCGTGTCTTTGTGCACGTTTGTGTGTCTTTGTGTGCGTTTGTGTGTCGTTGTGTGTCTTTGTGAGTCAGAAACATGATGTCTGGTCCTGATGGGTCCCAGAGGTCGGAGGTCGCGTTCCCTCCTGCTGTGGACTCTGCTGGTTTATGTCCTGGTTTATACTCTGCTGCCCCCTGGTGGCCAGAGGCCAGAACTGCAGCTGGTGGAGGCTCGACTCAAAACCATAAAACTATAAAACTCACATCCACTGAGCTGTTTCTGAGTCTCGTCTGGTCCAGAGGTCTTCAACATGGGGTCCGCGGCCCCTAGGGGGTCCTGGAGGTACTGCACGGGGGTCGCCAAAGTTTTGGTTAATTAGACTTTTTTTAATATTTCCCCTGCTATTTTTTCCACAAATGTAAATGTCTTTAAATCCACATGAACATGAATTAAACAGACTGTAGTCAACAGAAAAATGGAGGCAGAAGATGTCTCAGTTATCAATGCTCACATTCAGCCACACACAGGAGCTCTATCTATCTATCTATCTATCTATATCTATCTATCTATCTATCTATCTATCTATCTATCTATCTATCTATCTATCTATCTATCTATCTATCTATCTATCTATCTATCTATCTATCTATCTATCTATCTATCCATTTTTTATATTAATAATTTATTACTATGCGATAGGTCAAGATTATTTTTTGTGTAGTCTTCTGCCCCCTGTTATCAGGTGTATCTGATTGTGTACAATAGGATTTTTACCATTAAATTATGCAAAAGGTGTCAGATGCAAAACATTTCAGAAACCGTACGTATCAGGTATGATACTTTTGGCATTACAGGGTTAACTCTCTATTAGCATGACAAAGAATCTATTAACCAATTTGGGATATTTCTAAAGAAAGAAGCTGGAGATAACAGTTTTTAATGCAAAATGTATTTAAGTCAGAGAGATTCCCGGGGGTCTGATGGTCTTCTCAAAGCAGGAGGTGGCTGGATGTGGAGAGTCCTCTCCGCTAGGGTTGTCATGATACTAAAATGTTCAACTCGATACCGATACTCAGGAAAATACTCGATACCATTTTCGATACCACAAGGATAAAAACAAAAACCCCAAAATGTAACTGAGTTGTGTCTTTCATTTCAAACTGACCTGTTACTGACGTTATCGTGACTGGTGGCCCGCATTAATGACCCTAATCCTAACCCTGACCCTAAACCTAACCCTAACTCTAACCCTAAACCTAACCCTAACCCTAACCCTAACCCTGATCCTAACCCTGACCCTAACCCTAACACTAACCCTAACCCTAACCCTAAACCTGACCATAACCCTCCATCCTAACCCTAACCCTAACCCTGACCCTAACCCTAACCTTCCAGCCTTCACAATAGTGAGAAATAAATATTTTTTGGTTAAACTTGTTTGGACTTATTGTACAAACCTATGTAACATCCACTATTCTAACATAATATTATGGAAAGAGTTTCATTAAGTGTTTGAAAGATCCATTTAACTTTTTTAAAATGAATTTCTATATGGCCATTGTAACGATCTGAGTACGGACCCAAAAACACCCAGAGACGGCACGGTTAGTTAATAGAGTTTATTGAAAGGGCGGGGCACTTCGGAGGGGGTGGTCAGACAATTCCATGTTCGGTAACGTGTAATCCAGACAGCGAAGGTACCAGGGGAAATCCAAACCGTGGTACAGGTCCGGTCGAGGGTCAGAGCCAGGGAATCAGTCCAATGGGGGAAGCGGGAACTCGAGGTCACAGGCAGGCGGGGTCGGTACACGGAGTGTGGAGGCTGAGCAAGAGAGGGACAATAAGAGGAGCCAGATCCAGTGCCAGAACGTCACATAATGACCCTAATCCTAACCCTCCACCCTTTCATAATTGTGAGAAATAAATATTTTTTGGTTAAACTTGCTTGGACTTATTGTACAAACCTATTTAACATCCACTATTTTAACATAATATTATGGATAAAGTTTAATTCAGTGTTTGCAAGATTCATTTAACTATTTTTAAATGAATGTCTATACTGTATTGGCATGAGGCATTACCATTTTCTTGCCTGGGATCTTCCTATTGGTGACGTAATCAAAATGGACGACTTGGATGTGGGCAGAGTTGGATAGGTACTTGATAAATGTTGGCATGTTGTTATTAGCCATTAGCCGCAGCTAGCAGTTCATGGCTAACGTCTTGTTAATGATCATAAACAACGTAAATAAATACATAAATAAATCAGAGAGAAGGGGGGTGGTATCGATACTTTTGAAAATGAGTATCGTATCCGGATACAACATTTTAGTATCGACACTTTTTTGAGTATCGATACTTTTGACAACCCTACTCTCCGCTGCCTATTCCTCCACCGTGCACTCACATGCCAGACTTCAGGAATCCTCTGGGCCAGCAGTTTATGGATGTATCAGGAGGATAAATATCAATCCTCCATCCATTTTCGTCACTGGGCCAGGGGCGGGGTCACCGTGGACGGTCTGGAAGAGAAATATTTACAAAACAAATAAGATTAGAGAAAATAAAGCCAAAAAAAGGGGAACCACATGTAGATAAAATTCCCGTGGACTAACCCCGTTCTGAATCATCCGAATGATGGCGCAGAAGAACTCAGGTGGGGGTCCTTCTACACACATGTCCACGATCCCCTCGTCATCGAGGTTTATCTCCGCTTCTCGATCTGTCAGCCCAGAAAAAAATGCATTAAGGACTTTTTTCTCATGATAAAACCTGCACAGCCTAAAAAAAAACACAGACCAGCCAGATGTGACCCCCCAGCTGCTGCCTCAAAGGGAGGCAGGTGGCCTTAGCCTTATCTTAGCCTTAGCTTAGCCTTAGCCTTAGCCTTAGCCTTAGCCTTAGCCTTAGCCTTAGCTTAGCCTTAGCTTAGCCTTAGCCTTAACCTTAGCTTAGCCCAGTGCTTCTCAATTATTTTCTGTTACTCCCCCCCCAGCAAGAAGAAAACTATTCGCGCCCCCCCACTCCCCACCGTGAC